TATATAGAAAAATTAATATGAAACATACACAATTTTAAAAGACGAAATTGGCACAAAATGATTACAAACAGATATAAAAAAAAAAATAAAAAATACAACTCTGTATAAAAAATGGAAGTAAAATCACGACTAAACTGCCAATGGATAAGAAAAAAAATTAAAAATTGATAAAAAAATAAATATAAAAAAAACACCCACCTAACAGTCATTGGATAAGAAAAACCCCAGTCCCAACCAGAAAAAAAAAAAAACCAAGAACTACAGAAGAGACAATTGAGGAGAAGTATAGATATAACCCAAACCACACTATGGTCCCAAGCAAAAGACTCAGCAGCATTAAAAAAAAAAAGATTACAAATGGATTAAAAAAAAATTAAATATAACAAAAGAATTTGTTTAAAAAAAAAAAAAAAAAAAATCAATGAAGAATATTCCATAAAAAGGAGACAACTTGAGGTCTTACCCATGCGAGTTTAAAAAAAGCAATACAAAAAATATGTCGAAGATAAAACAGGTTTAACACTAGGGCACATGCAGATTCCTTAAGACTGCGGAGCCGGTATGCAAGGAAACAGTTAAAAAATCTATTCGAAGCAGTTTAGGAAGTTCATCCCAAAGTACGAGTATTCCAACACTGCTGGTGCTGCTTTGGAGATCTGCTTAAGGCCTGAAATAATAAAAAATTGGTCTTTAATAAGAGTGACTTTAAAGTCAGTCAAGAGATGTATAGGTAATTTGTATACTTTAAATAAAGTGTACAAGCCTACACAAATCATGATACAACTTTGATTGATTCATTAATTAATCAATGTATTGTAGGCCTAATTAATCAGTAATGTGTTTTTTTCTTAAATACAAAAAGGACTATGTGAACTGTGACAGGCTATGTGATGCGATTGGGGCAAATGCTGAGCAAAAAAAACGATTTTCTTCATGTTTCTAAAGACTACACCACCTGGTTTAGCTCAATCATCATGATAAATTAAATATTCAATCATTCAATTAAACATTCCTCATAAGTTACTATTGTTATAACGGTAACACATAATTGAATTCTAAGCTTGAACAGGCGTAGGTAAATATATACACTGCGCGGTAAATCGGCTGCACATGTAGCGAAATAGATTGATCATTATAAATTATAAGGAAAACAGGATTGCAGATGTGCCTTCGATCTCGCACTAAAATGAAATGTCAATATTCTAAAATCAGGGCACATTTTGGGAAATCGTACGCTGATTTTGTTTACGACTGAATACACTTTCATGGAAGTAGAATTATCATTTGTAAAATAGAAACAGGGATTTTGAACGTTCATTCTATTTCGCACGAAAACGAATGCTTCTTGTACAAATTCATGTACATATTGTCCAAAATTGTCCGGGAAAACCTATATATTCGTAAATATATGAAAACTATATATTTTACATTCTGTTTTGGTTAATCTTATCGCAAAGTGTACTTCTGTAAACATTTAAAAGTGTCCATGCTTTTCCGTTCTACTGAGCGCGCTGTTGCTGTGGTGTCATTTCAGGAAGACACTGTTCAGTGTAGGGGTTTTCTGTTCAAATTGTGAACCCAAAATGTGATATTTGAAACCATATTTGAAAAGGGTTGCTCATTGAAAAGGGTTGCCCATGTACCATCATAACAACGAAGCACCAAAGAAAAGGAATTTCTGACAGCAAAATAGCCACAATTGTAGCAACTTTTTGTGCTGAAATAACCGTGTAACATTAGTCTGCCCGGAATGACATCACAAATTTCCTCATGAAAATGGAACTTTGTATTAGCATAGAAACGGATAAGGCACCAAAAATCCCTTTAAACATGGAAAAACAAAACTTTAAAATAATGTTAAATACATCAGCGTAGCTACGGGGGGGGGGGGGGGGGGGGGGGGGGGGAGCGTTTCAATTAAGCAATCTTATTACAGAAATTAATGCCCATAAGTGGAAAAGAAACGAAAATCAAGTGCACCGACGTTCGCTAATTTGAAAGCGTCAACCATCAAAAGATTTCAAAAAGAAAGAAAGTATTTGAATGCACCAAAACGAAATAGAATGCATGCCCCAAACGAAACAGAACATTCAGAGTAAAATCTTGGATGCCTAAAAATTGAAATGGAATGCACCGAATGAAGAAGAAACCCCAATTTGATCACATGTGTAAACATTTTCTCCAAATTGAATGGCTGGTAATGAAAATGATTAGAAATATTCGGATAGTGAAACCTATATTAAGTTAGCAATTGGATGACATACCATTTTTTTTTTTTGGCGTCAAATTTATTGCACCAAAACTGTGAGATCGGCAATTTGGCACCAAACAATCTGGTAGCTCGGGTTACCTTAGGCCCTGAACATTTTTTTGTCTGCTGGGCGTGCATTATCCATAATATTTCTTAGTAAGCCTATATGTATTTCTATCATTTTTTTTGCAGAACCATGTTTAGATGAAAAATCTCTGTTCAGGGTCGCTATGATGCTTGCTTGTGAATGGGTAACACTGGCAGTTGAGGAGCTGGACTTTACCATAACAGAGGTTGAGACTATCGAGACAAATCACCCAAAGGATACCATGAGGCAAGGTCTCGATATGCTTACAAAATGGAAACAGGCCCAGTCCACCAGTGTTGAACAGCAGATCACCAAGTTGTGTACAGCATTGAAGAGCATCGGAAGAGCAGACATTGCCGGATTTCTGCACGGTAAGTACACGTCTTGGCTCCTTGTATGCCTAATGCAAAGATGAATTAAAGAAAAACGCTATTTTCAGAAATTGAAAACATGTATTTAGTGACATTGCAAAAAATGGTTAAATCTAGGCCATTTGCTCTACTTATGAGTTCGTTTCTGAAAGTGGTTCGATGTCTATGATTATATTTTCTTATTTCAATGAAACGGAAAGAAATTATTAAACGAAACCTTTTCTTTTTCTCTTTAAAAAAGGCAACAAATTAGGACAGAAAAGCAGCAATCGGACTTTTTAAAAGCAATATTTTGTGTTTTATATTTTATAATTTGCTTGGTACATTTCTGGGACACCACTGATTCAGGTGTCACGAAATTGTTGTGATTTCTTTACTGCTAACGATCATCTTAAAGGCAGCGACACACAAACTTTAAAGTTGCGTACACCGTGCTCCTCCACAAGTGCAGTTGTTGTTCTTCTTAATACATTTCAACTACTATGTTTTCTTCCAGCCAAAACACTTTGTTTTCCCCCTTTTCCGACGTCCATAATCCTCCAAAAAAGGTTTTGTATTGAGCACAAACAGATCCGCTTTGCAAGCAGACTGCTCATGGTCTATACATTTCCGAAAGTGATTGTGTGGCGGCAACCAGCCTTCCCTACGAGTAAAGAATTATTGTCTGAGTAATAAGCCATAATTCAATAACTAAAAATTGACCGATTTCTTTTTCTTTTGTCGATGTCTTGTTCAAAAGTAAATAATTTTTGTTTCCCTAAAAAAAGAGTAACTTAGAAAATCAACTACCAAGCAATCAGAGGAGGATTTATTCAGGTCTTGTATAATCCCGCACATATCTTATCGATGGGTCCTGATTTGCTGTGATTGCTGTGAAACAGCAATTTTAAGTTTCCCTTCTTAAAAACCGAAAGATCATACTGTTGTTTTAATGATTCTCATACTGCATTAAGTATATCACATGCCCAGGAGACCGCTAAACCAGATATGTATTGGTGAATTTGGCGCCCTTAAAGTTCCCAAAACATCACAATGCTAAATCAAATGGTTCCTGCAATGTGGTGGCTTTCTAATTAACTTCGTGTTCTTTAATTCAACAATTACCAGGAGGTTTTGAGGATATTTGCTGGAGGTAGAGCTCAACCACTTTTACTTAACAGGATGCTTATAGTGTCCATGAAATAAGTTTTATACGGGTGCATATTTGTAGCAAATTTCCAATCTTCAGAAATGTTTGAAAACTATATAAGACATCGATTTTTGGTAAAACAAAATGCAAAGCTCACTGTTTTAAACATTTCAAATGTTTTATGCTTTTCCTGACGACTAAGGGCGCTGTTGCTTTGAAATCACTTTAGGAACACAGGTACCAAAACGTTCTTGGAATGAAATCCATTACATTGACCCTTTAATGTCTCTTGAAAGTTCAAAGTGCAAAGAAATGCAAAGAAGTTGTGGCTTTGCTGGATTTACACACTTAAAGTTCCTGGTCGATTTCGACCCGGAATCTGGATCAGGTTTGTTTTGACATAACACTTTTTCAGGTCAAATTGACACTTTATGGAGTCACTTTTATTGGCCATTTGAAAATTGTAAGTTTGACACGAAAAATTGTCGTTTTGACACGAAACATTGTCATTTTGACACACAGGTATGTCAGGTCGAATCTAACCCAAGTTTTTTTGAGAGTGCAGGAAGCTACCAGCAAAAACATTTTGGAGAAAGTATACATTTATAGCACATGCGTTGCGAGACCAATTTTTGAGGGGAAGGGGGGGGGGGGAGAACAAATTAGCAAGAATCCACCCCTCCTGGTAGGTAGCCATATTATTTCCGCAACAAAATCGAAAGTTAAATAGTCATTTCAAATCTATATATGTCAATGCAGTTTTATGTAGATGTGCGGTCAACAGTATAGTTTAGGTTCATACAAAGCTCCATCGAAACGTACAATTGAGTAATAATCATGGAATATATTGTCGCCTCATTTTTTTCCATATTGACACCTTCCCTTGACCAACAGGTCCTGATCATCTGAAGATTTGCCAGCAGCTGCTTTTTAGTTTCTACGAAGAACATACAGGCTTCATCCAAGAAATCGTAACGTCTTCCAGGTCACTGGCGTTGGGTGTTAATGAGTTCAATATTGATTTAAATCTCCTTCAGAGTGGTCAGCAAACAACACGTGAAGACGTGAAAATGTATGGAAAACTACGATTTTGAATAGACCCAAAACAGAGCAACTGGACACATGGGAGGATATGTATGATGAAAAGAAGGTAGGGGAGAAAATGGTTCTTCTTTCAGGTGGGGCTGGATTCGGCAAATCGACTCTATGTGTGACGATAGCGAATACTTGGAAGAAACGTAAAGAGTCAAAAGTTGCCAAATTACGTAAAGGGTCAAAAGTCGCCAAATTACGTAAAGTGTCAAAAGTTGCCAAATTACGTAAAGGGTCAAACGTTGCCAAATTCGAGCTCCTGTTCTTGTTGAAGTTGAGTCAATTCAAGACAAGTTGTGTCATAGATGAAATTTTTGATCAGTTGTTGCAGCGCACTGACAAACTGACCAAGTCAGATGTGAAAAAGGTTATCAGTGACAACGAAGATAAGGTCGCATTCTTGATGGATGGGTTGGATGAAATACCGAGCCACATTTTACAATCTACCGAGGGTGTATATACAATCAATGATTTGTTGACAAACAAGGTATTGATCAAAAGCTGTGTGTTGGTGACAACACGGCCAGACATGGTCGACGATGTAATTCAGGGCTTCCAAGGCTATGCCAGGGTTGAAACGAAGGGCTTTACAGTCGATAACAGAGATAAGTTTATCAAAGCACACTTTCCAGACAATATCGCATCCGGAGAAGACTTAATTTCGTGGTTGAAATCACACCACTCTCTCCAGGAATTGTCACTGAGTCCAATCATTGCATGTATGCTATGTGTGCTTTGGCCGAACAGACCTGACCCATCATTACCATTGCCAGACAAGTTAACAACTGTGTACACTGAATTTGCAGAAGTTCTTGTTGAACGCCGCTTTAACTCACTCAGTGATGCTGATAAGCAGCAAGTAATGAACAAAATCTTGAAGGGATCGGGACAAGTTGCTATAGATGGGCTTCTAGATGGAGAAAGACTTCATTCTCCCCAGAAGAGTTCAGTAGGGACGAATCTGTCTTGAAGGACGGTTGTCAAATGGGTATCTTGCAGAGAGAAACTGTCTCGAGCCGTGTGACGAGTGTTGAAGTTGTCACTTTTCTTCATAAGTCCCACCTAGAATACTGCGCGGCACACTACCTTATCAGTTTGCTAAATAGTGATGAACAGAGCTTCCGTCGATATATTGATAAAATCATAGCACTCGGTGTTTCGAAAGTAGAATATGTGCTTCGATTTTGCTGCGGTTTATCAAAACAGGCTGCTGCCCTCATCCTGAGCCGTGTAGGACACGGTGACGACAATGTTGCACGATTGTGTTTGTTTGAGTCTGGTTCAAAAAGGCTAGCATCTAAACTATGGCCTCCAAGTAGAATTTCCTGCTACGGCCAACAGGACTTAGTAGCACTGCACTATTACCTTACAGAGTCTGGTATTAAACTAAACTGGACAACCTTCAGAATCGAGTGCAATTCATGTGCCGACCTGCGAGTTCTTGGAGATATTTTTCGATGTTGCAAAAGTGACATTCGGAGTATGACCATCGATTGTGTCCTGCGGGATCAATCTAATGAGATGTTGCGGCTACTTGTGGAAACACTTCAAGCAGCGGATAGGGCATTGCTAAACAAGAAATTGTTAGGTATTGAGGTTGGTATTCGTGATGGTGAAAATGTTGATGCTAACCGTCTAGCAGAGTGCATTTCCCATTTACCAAATCAATTATGGACGGTCCATGTATCCTACATATCGCATGATGACACCTGCGCATTAGCGGATGCACTGAAAGGATGTAAGTTACACGGTTTACATGTATCTCGCGTCAACATGCACAGTCACGTTGCTAGATTGGGTCCTCTTGTTACACCATCCTTGAGGACCTTGGAGTTAAGTTTCTGTGGACTGGATGATACTGACGTTGAGGGCGTTGTCAGCCTCCTCCCTAACGGGCATGGTTTGACCGGAATTTTTCTTGATAAAAATGCATTCAGTTTGAAGGCAGTGAAGACACTAGCAGGTCATTTTCGGGCTCTTTCTAACCTGACCTGTTTGGTATTTGGAGTCTTTGATGATGATGTCGAGCAAGTATTGGAGCAATATCTTCCACAACTGAAACACAATTCTGAAAAAAGTATGGAGGGTAATTTTGTCTGCAACTCATATCAGAAGGTACAACAGCTCAAACAAAATCTTGGCGGGGCTGATCTGTCCGAAGGGATATATATACACTACACCATGTCGGAGCGCTGGAGAGAAGAGCTAGAGCTGCTTGAGGAAACATTCGGATCATTAGACGAACGGCTCCTCGGTCAAATGGAGCTCATATTAACGGTTTTTGTTCTGAGTGTCGTTGATATCGAGTGGCTTGCAGGATGCATGAGCCATCGTTACACTCATGTTGAGAGGTTAAGCCTCCGGGTGTTTTCCCTATCACCATCATATGTCACTGGCCTACTAAATGCACTGACTGAGGGATGCAATTTAAGCAGACTTGAAGTATTTGGAACCAACATGCATGGTCATGTGAGGGATTTGGCTTCACTTGTTACTCCATCCTTGGAGCGTATGACATTAAAAGACTGTGGCCTTGATGATGATGACATGACAGGCTTGACTCGCATACTTTCTGCTGCGCAGTATTTGGTATCACTGGATGTTTCACGCAACAGTTTCAGTTTGAGAGCAGTGAAGGCTCTTACTATCTATCTCCAAGGTTTTCAATACCTGCACGATTTGGAGCTTGGGAACAACGATCTCGATTGCAATCTTGTAAAACGGGTTGTTAAAGAAAATCTTCCAAATGTCAAGATACCAGTGATGTAGTGCCTTGATGCTGGGCCCTGGCCTTAAGGCTGCCTTAAGGCTGGACCTTAGGGCCTTGGCCTTGGCCTCGAGGCTTGAGGGCAAAAGCCTTGGCCTTGGCCTTGGCCTTGAGGGATCAGTGCCTTGCAATTTTGAGTCAAGGCTCTTCAAGGCCCATAGATTTTTGCATTTTCCAGATAAATCTGTTTGAAATTTTGCTGTTACCATTTTAAACGTGTTACCATGTAGGAGGGAAACACCCTATAGACTTGTGTGCTGGGCACACTTCCACTTTTATAGCATCATATTTTGTTACCATTGTAGTAGATTTGCTGCAACAATATTCTGTACACTTGTGGGACTAATGAGATGATCACTTAAATTGTGTACAATTATGGAATAGATCTGGTTGGTTGTATATATCTTCCTGATAAGTGCTAAAGATTTGCATGTATCTATTTTAGATAATGCTAAAATTTCTGACCATGTTGGCCCAGCAAATTAAAATTTCCAAAATCAGTTTCTTGGATCCCCTTTTGTTACACTTGGGAGAATTGTGCGTCAATATAAAGGTAAATCGTTATTTTGTTTTAGTTAAACCATATTCAAGAAGACCTGAACTTATGCTTTAATAGATACAATGCAGTCATAAAACAGTGTGTGCGAGCATGTTGATTGCAATTAAGACAAGTTGTTCTTCTTAATGAGCGATTCGTGATGATGTGTCATGTGACTATAATTAGTTCTATATTAGTGGTCATGTTATAAAACAGGGCCTTGGCCTTGGCCTTAGCCTTGAGGGTTAAGCCTTGGCCTTGGCCTTGAGGCTTGAGGGTCAAAGCCTTGGCCTTGGCCTTGGCCTTGAGGGTCAAAGCCTTGGCCTTGGCTTTGGCCTTGAGGGTCAAAGCCTTTGCTCCAACACTGCAAGATTCTATGAAACAAAGATCTTGACAACAACTAGCTCAAATAAAAATCACTTTTAGTTGGTTAAATGTAAGCATCCAAACGTAACAAAATCAATATGATCACCGAATCAAATCATAAATTCGAACCAAAATAGTGATTTGTTTCTGCAGAAAAAAAGCTTTACTGTAAGAAAAAACCAAGATCGAACTAGTCTACACATTATAATTACATTAATATCAGTGATAGGTATAATTACATTAATATCAGTGATTGGCACCATGAAGTAAACATTGTAAAAGTAAATATTTACTTATCGGGTTGAAGTCCAATGACCGGCTAAACACACGCAGTTTTTATCAATAGTTTCAGAGGAGCACACTTAAAATACAATTGTGCTTGTTTTTTGTATTGTTGATAAAACGGTGGTGTATCTCTCGTCTGATTGAAGCTGTTTTGGCTAGTTTATTTTGAAAGTGTTCCTTTGGGATGCAGTTTATCAGTTTTAACTATTCTGGTGTATAATAGAAATGTTTGATTTTGGACGATCTTGACACTTGTGCGGACTGTTGTGCTCTGTCCCGGCTTAATTGTCCATGGAATTGATTCCATTCATGGGATGATTGGGACGGGACCCAGTGTAGTGAGTTTGCGCGGGTGTCGAGACTGCGCTGGTTCGTCTGCACTTTGGTGCATTTTAGTCTTTAACTTTTCTTAAATGTTTTTTTGTTGTGGTGACAATTTTTAATAAACCTTTTATGAATGAATGAATGAATGAAAACTAACAGGCTTTCATACTTTGCAAAAAAAAATCTAAACATGTCTTTGACTGAACATATGAATAAGTCGGCACAAAAACTTTATGTACTATTTTTAGAGTGGAGAATGGGAAAGAAGTGGAACAAACAAGAGTAAGAATTAGAAAATGATTAATAATTTGAAATCAATAGGCAATGATAATTGCTTACATGAGGATTGATAAGGACGATGTTGAAAGCTAAAAGATGGGTAATGAACACGATGTGATGATATCACATGAATGTATTAATCGAGGTCTCTTTCATTGAAGGATTATAAAGTTTTGTGGCAAAGACAGAATGAGATTCACTAAAATTTGGTTGTAGAGTAATAATATAAAGGACCAACACAGATTGTTATTTTTATATTTTATATTTATAATTTTATATTTGGAAATAGTTAGATTTTAGAAAGCTTTCTTGTTTGATTTGTTGAAACACCAAGTGTCTTTTGGCAACACTGATCACATCTGAAGGGATGCTTGCGCAGTGCACAAAAGAACGTATCACGTGACTGCACATCCAATTTGTAAACATATATATTTTGGTCTATA